CCTGAAAGCATCACTCGTGCCCACGCGGATGAGCAGCAAGGAGTAACAGGGGGTTGGAGAAACCTCAGTGGTCTCTCCACGACATTGTGATTGACGTGCCCTGATGGAAGTCTTCAAATCTGTCAACAAGATCCAACAGTTGGAAAGCTCTTGTCTTGTGTCTGCGCTGAAGTTCCTGGGTAGGCGGAGCAGGCGTAGGGTAGAGGTTTGATAAAGGAGTCTCCACGCGCCCAGAAAGATCCACACTAAAGCTGCGTGGTGGTTGTGTTTGGGAGCAGCTTTCTTTTGGACCGATTGCAGTTGTACGGAGACTCAAAATATGACTTGGTATTTAGCTCTGGTGGGCTCTGCAGAAGAAACGTTAAAATCTTTAGCTCTGTCCAACTAAAATGAGAGTGAGAGGTGCAGAGCGCCTAACAAAACCTGTCCCCCAAAACCTGCCAGGAGTCAATTCCCAGCTGGGATATCCCCTTTTCAGTTTGTGCTTTGTGGTTGGGGCTGCATCTCTTCTCCTCTGTCTGTTCCTTCCCCACCCCGCTCTCCAGCTGACTTCCTTCTTTCCCTTCTTCACATTCCTTTCTTTCACCTCCAACTGAGTTGTCTTCGTTTGGCACAGAACTTCTGCCTGAACTGGTGCAAACAGCCTGACATTGGACTCCCGAAGCCGGATCTCATTCTGTTCCTCCAGTTGAGTCCGGAAGAAGCAGCGGAACGAGGGAACTTTGGAAACGAACGTTATGAGAACAGCTCCTTCCAACAGAAAGTTCTGCAGTCCTTCTATCATCTGATGAGGGACAAGACGTTAAACTGGAAGGTGAGGAAATAACCCTAATGGGTCTGTCATGGATGAGGTTGGGGGGGTGTCATGACAGTGCCCGTCGCATCCCTATGCTCCCCTTTCCTGCTCCTGGTCAGGGGGACACTTTGGGCGCTGTGGCCGAGGGGACACTGCTCTGTTCCAAGACATCCTTGGGGCTCTGTCAGGGTGAGGTGCGGGGTGGGGGAAGATTTTCAGTTGGTTTTGCAAAAAAGCTTTATGGAAATCATTCTCTTTCTTAAAGACTAAGTGCCGAACCTGGGTAAGCAGCAGTGGGATGCACCCATGCTCTTCCCTGCCTCTCTTTGCCCGGAGTCTTGCAGCATCTGCCAAGGAGTCGGGAAGCCCCGCAGGTTTTTGGGGCCTTCTTGCAGCTTGTGTCTCCCTTACTGATGATCACCTTCCTCCTCACACGGCCAGTTTACGTCAGCGTTTGCTGTCTTACTGCAGAAGTCTCTCTAAATACACGATCTTTTTTGTTCCATGGTTCCGTATCGCTTTGCCTTCTTGGTCATCTCTTGGAGCTGTTGGCAGAGGAGGAAGCGTTCCCCATTTATCCTGTGTGTAGATGACCTAGGCTGAGGTTTTCTTGTGTGGGCATCTTTCTTACCATCTCTTTGACGCTGTCCACGAGACATCCTTTTCTTTAAATTGGAGAGACATGGGTTTGACAGATGGACCACTTGGTGGATAAGGAATTGGCTGGAGCATGGTCAATGGCTCAATGTCCAGGTGGTGACCAGTGATGTTCCTCAGGGGTTGGTACTGGGACCGGTGCTTGCAATGTCTTTGTTGGTGACATGGATGTTGGGATGGAGTGCACCCTCAGTCAGTTTGCCGATGACATCAAGCTGTGTGGAGCAGTTGACACGCTGGAGGGGAGGGATGCCATCCAGAGGGACCTGCACAGGCTGGAGAGGTGGGCCTGTGCCAACCTCATGAAGTTCAAGGCCAAGTGCAAGGTCCTGCATGTGGGTTGGGGCAACCCCAAACACAAATCCAGGCTGGGCAGAGAATGGATTGAGAGCAGCCCTGAGGAGAAGGACCTGGGGGTGTTGGTTGATGAGAAGCTCAACATGAGCCAGCAATGTGCAATCACAGCCCAGAAAGCCACCG